TTGAAAGAAAAAAGGTTAAGAGAAAGAAAATAGGCAAATTAATTTTTATATAAGATATTTCATTTATAAAATAATAGAAGCTATATTAATCTGAAGATATCTCTAATAATATTATATTATCTATTGTAATTGAAGATAAATTAAATATAACATGGAATCTGATGAGGATGATTGTAGTAGCAACAATTTATATAAAGGTAAATTGCATAATGAAGGTGTAGAAATATATATCACTAGAACTCATATAAAATTTATACAAATAATATTAATCATATATATATTCCTTTAACAACATCATAATAATCAATTATAAAATCCATAACACCCTATCATTCTAAAACTTTACTCTATCTCCGAAAACCACATGAATCGGATTGATAATTTTTAGGCTGCATTCATAGTGGAAACGGATCCGTTTTTACATCCGTTCCGTCAAAAGTCAAACTCATTAAAAATGATATAAATGTTCATAGACTATAAAAAAATTGTAAGTAACGTTATAACGCTCTATAAGATTTGCCGGATCAAAAAGTCAAAATGTTTTGACTTCAAAATTGTTTTTAAGACGGAAGGTATCGGAACGGACGCACTATGAACATATATATCATTTTTAATGAGATTGACTTTAGACGGAACGGATGTAAAAATCGGATCCGTCTCCACTATGAATGCAGCCTTAGATATCCATCTCCGTTATCGGTAGATAATCACTACAGAAGGAAAAAGAGAAAATGTTTTTTGTATCACTTTTGTCATTCTTAACTTGCAAAATTTTATTATAATCTTGCAATCCCAAATATTTAATACTATAATGAATAAATAAATATTTTATATTAAAAAATATTATAGCTTACCAAATGCTTTTTATTATTTTACCTATTATTTATGCTTGTATTAATACAGAGTTTCCAAATTTCAATATAAAAAGTATAATATATTAAATAAAAAGCGGACTGATGGCCCGCAAAAAAAGGAGGCATATAATTTTTTCAGTTGAACCCCTAATGTAAAGGATAGTGACACGCCTGCTCAGGACTAAATCGATAAATTATTTGTTGCAGAATATTAGCGCCAAGCCCATAGCGTTATGCACGGGTTTTCAAATTTTATTGATTTATTTATTTTTAAAGTTGTCCCTTTTTTGGTCATATGAAGATAGAGTGTACAAAATAGGTATCAATCGATAGCCAATCAAAAAATCTATCTAACAGGACGTCAACTCTCACCTTGTAATATTTTAATCAATATAAAATTTCAATATAGGTGTCAAATGAAAGAGAATAAAAATATTTTTTGACTCAAATAACAGTATACTATTGGTCTTAATAGGTTATACTTGGTCTGAGAAGGAAGGGGGGGGGGGGGTAAATTTTTTTTTAAAATATGGATATCAAATAAAAGGTAATAAAAATATTGAGATGTTTAAAAGGTTATGTGAAAAGTTAAAATATTTAAAATAAATATATTTTATTTTAACAAATTATGTTTTAATTCAAAAGATAATACAATTCTAAAATGATATGTATATATTAATCAAAAATACATTAACGATAATACCATTCAATTAACATACCATTGAGTTAATTATAACCTCAAACAAAAATTTAATTTATTTATACATTACAAATATCTTGATTGTAATTATAATTTTCACTCTAAGTGATATTTCATTCAACAATCAAGTGAAAGCTAATTTAAAAATGTTCTAACTCAATTCACTTGGGTTTAATAGGTTGTACTAAGGTCTGAAGAAGGGAGGTATGGGAGTGTAAAAAAAATTGGATATTGTTATCAAATAAAAGGTAACATCCATCATCAAATTAAGGATAAAATTCTTATTCCCCGTAATTCTTGACGAGCTATCTACTAGTTTAACTATATTTGGGAAAAAATTACAGACAATATTTTATAGTATGCAATGCTTTCATGTTTATTGGTAGATTTTTATTAAAATCAATCTTTCATACCAAAATTTTAAATTCTGAAAATAATCAGAAATCAGATATGCTTTCAAAAACGTTTATATCACCCGAATAAAATTTAGCTAAATATTTAATTTCAATATAATTTCATGGTTTTACACCGGGGAAAGGCATGACAGATGCAATTCTTGTGGAGAGACAAAAACAAGAGAAATATCTTGCAATGGAAGGAATAAAACGGTATTATGCATTTGTTGATTTGGAGAAGGCATGATAGGGTGCCGGGTGCCACGCGAGGTTACTAGTTAGGCCTTGAGAAAACCAGATTGGAAGAATAGTTGGTTATGGTAGTGATGGCAATGTATGTGGGAGCACAAACTGTGACGCGGACGGATGATGGAGATAGTGAAAGCTTATCTATGAGTCCAGTAATGGATGTGATGGCTAGAGAGATCCGTGAAACACTTCCATGGGAGCTATTATATGCAGATGACTTTGTATTAATTCCAAACAGTGAAGAAGAATTGAGGAGGGATAAAATTAGTAAAGTAAAAGTCTCTCTGAAGTTAAAGGGGAAAGTTTACGTAAGCAATGTGAGAATTTGTTTAGTTTATGGCGCCTGAACATTAGCAATGAAGGGGCCCACAAAGCCAAAGAACAAAGATGAGGGACATTAAAACAGTTATGAAGCTGAAATTGTGGTTAAAGAAGGGTAAATTTATTAGTGTTAACAAAAGAGAAAATTGTATATCTAAATTGTACCGGAGAATAATTTTTGGAACATTTTTTAAAAATGGGGTAATACTGAAAATCTTTCGAGTTACGTTTCAGGAATTACAAAAAATGATTATGGATACGAAAATATGTCAAAATGTGCCTAAAATTTTAGACAATAAAAATATGGTAAATAATCAAGAAATAGGAAAAATTCATAATTCGGAACTAGATATTGTATTAAAAACTGATAGTGATGACACACATTTAGAGATAGAAAATAAAATAAGGAAGGAAGAAATTAGAATATAGTGAGCGAAATGTAAAGAACGAAGAAATCGGGTTTTTGGAAAATAAAGTTCAAGATAATGTTATATTTAGAAAATTTTATAAATAATATTTTGGAAATTACGGGAAATATCAAAATAATGGATGAAAAAATTTGTCAGGGTTTGCCTGAAATTATAAATATTAAATGTGACGATATATATATTAAATATGAAAGAAATAGATGAAATTCTTGATTTGGAAGTCGATAATATTTCAGAAACTAATGACGAAGATCTTAAGTCGCAAATGGACAATAAAATAACTGAAGAGAAATCTGATAGTAATATAATATGTGATAAAATTTATAATCAAATATGGATAGGGGAAAATTTCCTGTATCACTAAAATTCCCGGCGAAATTTGTAAGAAAAAAAAGGAAGAACAAAAATGTAAAGAAACATGAAATAAGCCAAAGTACATGTGGAAGAAATGTAAACTTTAAAAGAGACTTGAATAACAACGGAAAATTAAATCCTGATTAAATTGGAAAGAATTTCAATGTCACTTTTCTATATCGTTTTGATATCGTATGTGTTCTACCGTGGTAATTTTATTGGGAAATTAAAGTATTAAAGAGATATATAGAAAGTTTTGAATATAATGAATTTTAAATTAAAATGTCTAAAAATAAATTATTAAAAATATGAGGGTCAATGTGCAAATTAAAATGGTTGGAAAAGTTATTAATGAGGGAATGCTACTATTGATTTTATTCTTTGTGAATATTCTCGTAAAAACAAGGTTCGATTGAAATTAACGGGATGGAATCACATGGGATGTGGAGTAGGCAAATTGTTTAAATCATGAGATAAAGTTAATATTAAAGATTTTTGAAGTTGAATGAAAGTATTTTTTTTTCATGGTTATTATGAAAATGTAAGTGAATCTCATTTTAAACTGCTTAAAATTTATTCGGTTGAAATTAATAAGTGGATCTCATACTAAATTCCAATGAAAAGATTTGAAAAAATCCTATTTGCAGTTCAATTGGATCTTCTAGTTTTCTTTTAAGCAATACAATTAGAGGCTCTTTATTATCGTTTAATATTGGACACAATGAATTGGAGGCATTTTTATTGATGCCCGTTGAAAAATAATTTTTGATTCAAATAGAACTCGGATATATATTTATTTGCCCTAAAGTTGTAAGTTAATGCGAGATTCATTATCTTAAAAATTGTATAATATTCGCTTAATAATTCACTATTTAGATTCTATTTGGGAAACTATAAATGCAATATGATTGATTTTATGTTATACAATAAGGATTATACTCGGCGCGGCTCAACGGGATGTATGTAGATTTTATAGTGCAATAAGTAATAATTTTATATTGGCGTGTAATATATATATTATATCAGTAATTGCGATAAATATATATTTATATGTTCAGTTTGTATTATTTTATATGTGCGCTGAAAATAAAATATGGGATTCTTTCATATGAGTCTTTTTTAAGTAAAAATATGATAATTGTAATATTGTGTTTAACCATCGTTTGAAACATTTTCGCCCAAAAATATAAGAAATAGAAAAAACATATATATGAACTAGCCATAAGGGGTCCCAGACGAATGCAGGGTAAGACCGCAAATGAAAGTATAGGGCTAAGCCCTTATAAAAATAAGGTAGCTAGAAAACACTTGCCCACAAGGCCGTAGCATTGCCAGTCCACCTCTGCAGATTAAGATTGTTAGCAAAATCATATTATTTAAATCTTGAATGCAATAGATTTTGACATGCTAATGAAAACATTTACTGTAAGAAATTAAATTTAATATTATAAAAATATTAATTAATAAAATGTAGAACACATTTGCATAAATATTTAGAATTTGGAAAATATTTATTGCTGTTCGTTTTAAATGGGAATTTGTTTTATGATGTTTCAATTGAAAACAAATAAAATAAAATAAATGTTGCTTGATATTTTATTTCTTCATAATATTAGTGTTTTTAAACCATTTTTAAGAAAAAGCAAATGTTGTTTATAATTGACATAAATTTTATTAATATTATTTACGACATTAAATATGAGCGATAGTCATATTTCACGTTATGATTTTTTATGAGTTTTACTAAATGTGTCTATAATTATGGAAAATACCAAAATCAATGTAAACAACTTAAACAATAATTTTGAAACCAACGAGGGGAATGATATAGTATGCCCGATATCCAGTAGTTGCCTTCGAAACATAAGTGATAAAGTATATGAAAAAAGAAAATCAGGGGCGTTAGAGATTCAAAAGTCATTATTTAATGCTCAATATTTTATGAAAATGATCGGCAGTTTTATATATATATTTTTTTTATATTTATAGATTGGTCAAAAACTTAGTTATAATAAATGATAAAAGGGTAATAAATAATGTGATTCAAACTTTAAACAATGATTTTATCATGTCCCATAATGTTAATGCAAGAAAAGGAGGTTGTATAAGCTTAGCTGCAACTGCTATTGGATTAGAAAAAGTATATAGAATATTCTTTTTTTTTAAAATAATGGGTTTTTTGTAATCAGTAATATATATATGAATAAGATGTGCTCAATATAAATTGATATAATATAGTTATGATAATTCAAATCTTTAAAAGTTAATAATATTTGATAATTAATATTTTAGTGATAACTTATGATATATGATTAATATTATAAATATTTTTATTTATATTTGTCAAATGGATTTAAAATGCCATATTCAATATAACTATTAAATATAGCTTGGTTTAATTTATCAAATATTTTATAAATTAATTAAATATTTTCTTTATATGTTACTTAAATTGTGAGAATATTTTGCTTGGTTAGTTTCAAGATTAGCAAAAAAGGCCACCATATAATGGACTATGATAAATCATTTTTCAAGATTTTACCACTTTTCTCTAAAAAATTATTTATGAACAGTTTGTTACTGGTTATGTTTCAAGTCTAGTTAATCCTGTGGTGTCATGTTTTTATGATTCTGATAATGGTGTCAGATATTATGCATGTGAGGCACTCTACAACATTGTTAAAGTTTGCAGATCAGCTATACTTGTCTCTCACGAAAACACTCTAAAGGAAGTCTTCATTGGTTTGAGTAAGGTAAATATATTTCCTCTCATTTGTGTTAGTAATTAGATTCTTTAAATTTTTTACTAATATACAGATCTATGAATACTGTAAAAAATATAAAATTTAGTGAATTATTAATGAATCATTTTATATTTCATTGATAATTGATAACAATTTATTGAAATGCAAAAGGTTAAAATATTAAAAATGAATCATTATTAAATTGGAATTTTTTGTAATCAATCTTATTAATTCAAATCATTAAACATGTAGATCTACTAGAAGATGTAATACATTATATAATCTTTAATATACTTTTAGATAAACAAAAAATATATAATTAGAATAGATTTTCATATTTTTTTTAAGCTAGCTTGTGATACAGATTTAAATGTGCAGAATGGGTCACAGCCTCTAGATCGACTATTGAAAGATATTATAATTGAAAATCAACAAACAAACACTTCTAAATATAGTTCTTCTAATGCCGTTAATAAAAATATCAAGAATAATGATGAATTAATAAAAAATTTGATTGATATGCTAAAGGATATGATTTACACTAAAAATTCATTTGGTCGGCAATTCGTAGTTTCCTGGGTAATATATTTTGCTCCCTGATTATTATATTAGTATTTTCTCCACTTATGGGATATCATGTAATTATCACAGATGTAAAAAAAACTGAAAAAATAATGTATTTTAAAACAACTATATTCCTTGTTATTTTTGTGGAAAGAGCTTCTTTTTTAATCTCTAGATAATTAAAATACTATAAAGAACTATATTTTATTATAGTAGAAGGGTAAGACACGATTTATTACCTTAACAAAAATGTATATATTTATTTATTATTTTTATGATAATAAAAATTGATATTTTGCTCATTTTTTTAAATAAAAGTTATCCCTTCTAAACGATATTACTCAAGATCAGAATAAGCTCCTAACTTTGAACTTGCCAAAACTATTAGATGGACTTTTATTGATTTTAGATGACGAAAATTTACAAGTCAAAAAATCGTAAATTAGTAAAATTATGGAAAAAAAATATTACCCAAAAACAGCCGTTGGAATGGGGGTGGGGGGTTAGTCTATATTAGGCTAAAATTTCTTTAAACTGAGATGATATCATATAATGATATTTATGAATTAAGTAATGTACATTATATATTATATTATGATAATATATAAATTTGTTGCAAATAACTAATTTTTATCAGAGATTCCAAATGGCAAAATTTTTAGGCCCAGTCCAGTGGGGGTTTAGTTCCCATTCAAATTTTGGCTTGGCCTGGCCCAATTTTTAACTATTCACAAGTTAGATCAGCCTTGAAAATTTTTTTTAGATGCATGACCTAAACCTATTTTGTTGTACACCAAAATAAGCAATTATTTATTACCTTGGAGAATGTTAAATAAAATCACTATACTTATGAATTATCATTTCTATGAAATATCAGAATTCATCAGTTATATATATAAAAAATGTTTTTCTGGGCCCATTCATTTTTGGCTGGGCATTGCAGATCTCTGATTCTTATAATATTTGCTCTTAATTGCACAAAGTGAATCTAAAATTCTTGTAACAGATTATTGTAAAATTTATTTATTATTAAAAAGTTGCCAAAATTTGTTGCAACAGTTTCTTAATGAGATATCTACTTCATCAGAATCCAACAATACCATGACATCCTCTTTGTTAAACCAAATGGATGCTCCTACGTTAATCAACATCTTGATCATTCATTGCAAATCAAACAGTTATTTTTTAATATAAATTTTGATTTTATTATTATTTATAAAATCATTCTAACATCATATTTTTTAGATGAATTTACTCAAGAAATCGCATTGAGCTGGATTAAAACTTTTGTCATAAAATTGTCCTCCGACTCAAACCTCAATCAAAATTTATTACCATTTTTCCCATCAATTTTAGCTGCAACACTGCCTTGTTTGCGAAAAACTGACGACCTTAATAATAATAACATTAATAATGCCAAGAAAAAATATCCCTTTTTTAAAAAAATTGACTAAAATTTTATTAATATTTTTATTTTATAAATGGTTGGACATATTTTTTGAGCTGCATATTTTTCCATTTTTGGTGAATACACTACTTTTTAAAGCTTCACAATAAATATTGTTGCCTGTGAACAGGTATGTGTCCGTTTACAAGATAAAAAATACACATTATAACTTATCTCGTTTTGACTGGCATATAGGTATGTTCAAATTAGATAATATATTCCAAATTTCTTTTATATCATTTATGATAATTTTTTGAATGTTAAATGTTGTCTATTTTTTGAAGAATGACATTGAAAATTAGATTATAATCTTATCTCTAGGAATTGTTAATGGTCTTTATAGTTTTATAAAAATAAATAAAAATCTTTTATACATCTTAATTAATCACTTTATAAATAACAAGCTATAAGTTAGAGTTGTAATATAAATATTTTAAAATGTTTTTTTAATTAAATTGCATTCTGGATATTTTATCTAATCTTGATATTTAATCCAGAATTTTATGGTTCTTACGCGTATATAATTTTCTAAATTATTTTTTTTGAACAAAAAAATAAATATTTTATTCACAAAATTAATGGCATCGATATAATATTAGATACGTCCGGTTTTAATTTAGTTTAATAACAATTTAATGTGATTTCATCCTTAACTAAAATGTCGAAATATTATACGAATATGTCTGAGACTGCTGAAGTAATAAACAAAACTCTTTTAAATCTCATAATCACCTGGGGTCACAATCACAGCATCAACAATAAAATCGATAAATTAACTAATATCTCTGATGGAAAAATTATCGATACCCTGGATACCGGAGCCAAATTAGCTGAAGTTGACTTGAATAAAATAGAAGGTTAAATAATTACTATGCATTTCATAATTTAAATTGCAACGAATATTAAACTTTTAATAAAAAAATAAAAGTCCTCACCTATTTTTAAATTCGCCCATATTAAGAATATTTTTTAGCATAGGGAATATAATATCTCGAAAGTTGGGAATATAATATAATATTTTGACTTGTTTAAGCGATTAATTCGGCTACAGGAAATTTTAAATTGAATAATATTTTGTTACTTAAGATATTAAAATTATTTAGATGATGTATTTGTTTGATTTTTGTAAAAAGTGTCCTAAATTGATTGATAGAATGTATCAAAATTAAAGTTGCAGATATATCTTAATAAACAATATTTTATTGATTGATAATTTACAGATTATAAAATTTAATTAGGTGGAGATAAAAATTCAACAACTATGACCAATGACAACACAACTAAGAAAATCAAGTTAATTCCATATTTTTTTGAGAATATTTAATAAAATAGAGTGTATATTTAAATCTTTTTTATTTTTAAATTACCTTCATTTAATTCAAAAATTTGTATGTTATGTAATTTATGCAAATGCTCAATATGAATGTTTAATATAGATTATTATAAAATTTAAGAAATAAATTATGTAAGTTAAAGCTTCAGATTGGAAATTTTTTTTTATTTCCATTTTTTGTGAATATAAAATAGAAACTCAATTTTTTTTGTTTCTTGATTTCCCCCAGGGTAGTTAAACGGCTCGATTTTTAAAAACTGCTAACCCACCAGAAATATTATGTAAGCCTTGAGTTTTCATTAATAGATGCCCAAATCTTTCTGCCATCTATGAGCAAATTTTCCAGGTTTGCATAATATTTTTAGCCAAAGTATTGGTTAACCGTTTTTAAAAATCTAGCTGTTTAACAACAATACCCAGCCCTAAATCATAGTTCAGTCCGTATAGGTATAAAACATGGTTTATTAAATTTAAGTTCTGATTTTGGTTTATTATGCAATACAATCATGTTTAAATTTGAAGTTTATATTGACTTTTATAATAATTTAAATCGATTATTATTATTTATAAAACGTTTTCTTAATTTATCTTTATTTTGGCTAATTTATCTTAGAAAATTGGTTAAGAGCAATAGTTTGGATATAAGAAATTTAATAATGATTTTAATGTCACACATCCAACACTCCTCAGAGCAAACAAGGCTTTCTGTTCTTAATTGGGTATCCCACCTGTTTACTAATATGCCCGAAAAGGTTTGTGTTTATATTCTATTATTTAATTTAAAGTTTATAACTTATTTATATGATAGATGTATCCACACATAGGCGAAATTTTTCCAGTATTATTAAATACTTTGTTAGATTCATCCGAAGAAGTATGATTTTATTTGTTAGTACTAAATATTTATTACAATTGTAAAAAGGTAGTTTTATTGGATATCAAAGTATTGTCACAAATATCCTCTTTGAGTCATTTTGACAACTTTATTACCAGTTTAGTGGAATTGTTTAAGACCAAGTTTTTCCAAAACAATTCATGTAGCAACATAATTAATCCAACTGTTAATAGTTTTTTTGATAACCGAAGTTCTTTTATCATCAGGTAAATTGAATAAAACTAGTATACTTCCAGGTTCTGGACCTGGTTAAGATTCAACAAAATTGTTTGTTGGACATTTTGCCAGCATGTACTTAACAAGGACCGATTTTTGGATAACCGTTAAAACCTGGTGTATTTTGGACTTGATACTCATTTTGGAAAATAGGTCACTATTAAATTTGTGCATAAATTGCACAAAAACATAGTTAAAATTTCTGAATACAAATCTGGGGCCCAGTACATATAACAAACTCTTTCAAAATAAACGTTTCCCTAAACAACTTTTTTTACAAAAAAAATAACAAGGGTTTTTTTTAAAAAATTTTTATAAACACGAACGCGTTTGATTAGATGATTTGTCACATATTCTTAATTGTCTGTACACTTCTAATAAATTGTTGCTGATTATTGAATTGTTCTATAGGTTTTATTAAAAATATGAGAAAATGGAATTTAAATATTCAAATCATTATTTTTTTTTAAACAAATTGACCAAAATAGAAAAAAATATCTAGGATTAAAATTAAAAACTAAAGCTTTCTTTATAGTAGGACTGTGCCGATCCACAAATTTTTTACCGATCCGATATTTATATTGTTTTTTATTTACCATCTATTTTTGTATCAATGTCATTAAAATTTCAATAATTTTTATTAAAAAAAATCCATCTAACTTTCACGAATGATGTGTTTTTTTTTGTTCTCCAGGAGTTAATTATCTCATTTAAAATGCTTACAATGTTTATGGGGTGGTAGTATTGTTAAACATCTGCATTTAACCGATTTTTAATGGACTAAATCAAGATTTTTATAAAATATTATTACCTAAGCCTCTAAATTTCGCTATTAGAAGTCCAAACTTTTCTGCTACCTTTGGGCAAAATCAATAAGCTTGGGTCAAAATCTTAAGTTAAACGTTTTTAAAAATTGGCTAAATCTAGCCGTTTAACAAGCTGAATGTGACTCGTTAGATGTTTTAAAATTATTTTCTTGTTGCAGACAATATAACAAAATATAGTGTAAATGTTAACTATTTTTTTAAACATTACTAAAATGGATTTTACTTCCTTTCATTTATACATTATTATGAAATTATTTATAAAATAAAAAAATTATATGATTATATAATCATAAAATAACCAAAAACAATAAAAAAAAGATATTGGATCGGATCGATGTTAAAATATATAGGCTCGATCCGATATTTTTTAAAAAAATACGGTACCAATCCGTATTAAATATCGGCACAGCCCTACTTTACAGTCGATGTTACTCAAGCTATATGTAATTTACCAAATGATCGCACAGGCATATAATTTAGCATTATTACTGTAAGCAACATAATGTCACGCTATTTTCGCGGTTACCATAAAAGAGATCTAAATATTATGGAAATATAAAAAAAAATGTTACATACTTTTTTGACACAGTCATTCAAAATGAAAATAAATGCTAGATTTTAATTCACTTTAAATAAATAAATCAATTATTTAAAAACATAAAAATCGAATAATATAACGTTATTTCTTTATAGCAGAGACCAGCATGTCTTGACCCAAAACATGTTAAAAATTGGTATGATTTAATATCAAGGGAAGGCCTAAGAATTTTGAAAAATAAAAATCAGGGCCACAGGCTAAAAAAAATTGAAAATTTAGGTTGGACTGATTTTCAAAAAATTAATTTAAATTATTTAATCAGTTGTAAATGAAGCGTTTACTATTTCATTTACTGCAAATTAATTTTATTTGAAACCATTCGCAAAAATTATTCAAAATAACGAAATTTTAAAAATTTTGGGCTATACCGAAAAATAAAAATATGGACGGGGTAAAATGATAAAATCCCCGGGTTTAAAATTGATAAAATAATTCAAATCTGGACTGCATAAAATTGGTGATCTCTCTGGCATATAATAACGATTGGATGAATAATTAGAGTTTAGACCCCAATATTAAAGTATAAATCTATCTAAATAAAAATTAACTCAAAACATAATTTTATTTAGTCTAAAATTTGGTTAGATGGTCATATTTATCCATACATTTTAGAGCTAACTCAATTGTGATGAAATGATAAGGGATGGATTCTCATTTGAAAAAAAATATATTTATAATTATAAAGATTTTAATATAAATTGTGCAAAATGTAAAATCGAATTCATAATTAATATTTAAAAATAAATAAAGCTGGGAGATTTTAATTTTCAAAGGATTTATTAAATTTTTTAAGTTTTTATCAAGAAGGTAGATTTAGATGTTGAATATAGTAATATAACTTTTAAACGTCATATATATATATTATATATATATAAATTCCTTATATGATTTGATAAAAAATCTTATTAGATCTTTGATACTTAGGCCTCACTTATAGTAAGTACAATAATATGGCATCGCTCTTGATCGCGATGTGTAATACAAGATCAAGTAAAAATCATTCAGTTGCACTGTCATTTTGCGATAATCATCGCATCACTTAAAACCATCATGCTTGTGCTTACTATAATGAGGCCTTAGTCGATAGACCTATAAAAAAATTAAAATTTACAATTTTTTCTTCTTAGAGACAACATCTAAAAAAAATGATGAGTGTTTTGTTAATTTGTATCATTATTTTTTTTACAATTTGCAAAAATTAAATTTTTCAAAAAAGTTATGAATATGAGAAAATAATAAAACACGACACTTAATTAATACACATTTTTCTAAAACTTTTAATATTCATTGTCCATGACTTTGTTAGAAATTTAAACAAATAATGGTTTAGACGGAATACCAAAAATAGAATATTCATTTATATATTTTTTAGTAATTTTGAATAATTCCAATTGAATCTAATTCAATCTATTTGTAGTCTTAATGATGTTAAGTCTTTTTTTAATTAAGAGGAGAAGAGGACTTTAAATATTGAATCAATATTTTAAGCCCATATAATACAGTTTTGCCTTTGAGCTTGAGTTACATTTGGATTATCAGGTTTATCCTATTTTATTAAAAATATTTGCCTACTATGATTTTAAAAGTATTTATGAAAAAAATGAATTTTAGAAAATTATGTCTATATCTTGATCCCTACGATATATACACAAATTTCGCCAAAAATTTATCACAACAATCTGAGAGTATAAATAAAATAACGAATGGGGATATCAATTTGGCTAATGGGAATATTAACAATAAACAAGATAGTTATAATGAAGAAAAAAGTATTAATATTAATAATAAGTTTTATTCTAAATTTATTGGAATTTAGAAAAAATAATTATAATGTAATTTAGGCTTGCTAAAATTGTCAGGTTTAAATAGAAAATATTGTTTATAGTTTATTTAATTATATAGTTATTTTATCTGGCATAATAGCTTTTATAATTAAAAAAAATTAAATATAAGGTTATTATAGTAATAAAAATTATATTTTATCCAGTAAAAAAATTTAAATTTACATCAAAAATGGTTGACTTATTGAACTCGATATTACTAACGACTCCCGAGTTATATACTTTGAGAAATGAATTGAAACGCTTATCGAATCAAGTAAAAATTTATACTATTCTTGTTATTATTATATTTATGAATCTTTGCCCATGTTAGCTTATTTTTTTATATTCGTTTAAAAATCATTCTCTCTCCACCCTGACTTAACCCTTAAGTTTCAAGTTCCGTTTTTACACTCAGTTTGGGACCTGGTCTTAAAGGAGTTTTATATCTGAATATTTTTTAGATGGTTTTTATTTTTGACCCCCTTCCAATCCAGTTATTTGATTCCAGTTTCAGATCCTGTTAATAAACCCAGAAAACATTTTTCATAAAATTTAAACATTGAATTTTTAATAACATATAAATATAAATTGTTATAACTAGTTCCCATTATGATTTCTACAAATTTTAAAGCATAAAAGCAGTTCCAAACTGTGCTTAAATTGCCACTGTAATGACTTGGTGGTAGAAACTTCATTGTGATTATTTCTTCTTGAATTTTAGGAATTCCTCACTAAAAACACCAAGAGTATTTTATTTATAACAAATGGGATAATTATTGCATTCTTATTAGGATTTAGGCTTGAAACTTTAGTACACAAGGGCAGTTTCTTGGTCAAGATAAAAAAGTGATATGGCAGTTGACAGGGGGGAACTGCTCTAGGGCCAAAATTAGGAAGGGTTTTATTTATAACAAAGCTTATATTCGATATATTTAAAAACGTAGAAAAGTTACAAATTATTTGAAAACCTTTATAAACTATGGTGCTACAATCCCATCGCTACATTGGCTTTGTGTTTACTAACTCAAAATTTTGAACATTCCTTTCATTTATTACAATCTTTGTAAGTTAATATATTGATTATCTTATTATTATTAACTGCATACATTTTTTTAGCGGTGATATCAACATAACTGTCGAGTTTTTGGTAGAAATAGACAAACTTATACAATTATTGGAATCACCAGTATTTATGTGTAATTTAAATCATATATATTTTAATTATTTTTTTTATCACTCGTTATTCGTTGTTATTAGATCTTTGCTCTTCTAAATATTATAGAGACCACGGTTTTCTAGAGATATAATTTAGGTTCATCCATTTTTTTGGTTGCTTCTGCTATAATTTTTTTTAATTCATGGTGTAAAGGTCATTCTAAATTGTTAAGATCACTCCACACGAAAAAAAATTTAAGAAAGTAGTGTGCGGAATTATGATGGATTTTATAACCAAATGAAATCTAGTTATTTTATTTGTCGAAATCGGTAATAGGGTAATCTGAACCTTTTTTATTTGACTAATTTATCATAGAAATACAATGATTATTCTCTTATTAATTTTATGATAACTAATTTTAATACTACATAAAAACTGTTATAAAAATCAAATTATTATTAAAAAAAAATAGTTCTAAGGTTAAAACTATTGGAGCCCCAAGGTAATCGATATTTAATTAAAACCTTATATGGACTACTTATGATTTTACCTCAGACCAACGCTTTTCATTCCTTAAACAATAGACTCAAATGCTTGCCTTTCATAAATAATGATTCTATAAAATACGATGATCAAAAAGGGTATAATTACTTTACTATATTATAAGAGAAATTGATTAAATTTTTATTATATAAATCTAAAAAAATATTTTTTTTATTTGAAAAATAATAATATTTAAGACAACTAAAAAAAAATGAAGATACAATGCCACTCCAATCCAAAATATCCTTTGAGGATTTATTATTACATTTTAATGAAATACAATCTCAATATTCGGAAACTGTTAAATTTTAAATAAAAATATTTTAAATTATTTATTTATTTTATAATTTATTTAATAAAATTATTGTATAGATATAAAAATGTAGATATAAAATACCACAGTCTTTTGTTAGCATTACCAATTAAACTTTATGTCGAAACTAATTAGAATTGATAATATTTGGGGAAAATAAGGTGCCAAATATTTTTATTCTACTCCTAGTTTCGAACCAAACTGTGGAATGGGAAGGAATCGTCATAATTAATAAAGGTCAAAGCCTGGACCTAAATAAAAAGACTAAACCGAAAACCGATATTAAAATAAAAAAACCGATAAGACTTATATCAAAAGACCAAGCAGATTTCTTAGAAACTTTGCAAACCTCATTGATCTGGGCCAAAAAAACAAAGGAATTGGGAATTTGGTTTACTTTTAAATGACATTTTTTTTATTTTCAACATTGGTTTCCTTAATATTTTGTTTTACTTTTTCCTTTTTTTGAAACATCAACCACTCGTATTTTTTTTGCTATTGGTTCTTAAAAATGTACTTTCTTTTTTTATTACTTTTTTGCTTTTGTGATTTATTAAATGTGCCTTTGTCTTATTTTTTAAATACATTTTTCCCAGCCTTGTCACCATTAAGAGGCCATTTTATGGATTTGGAGGTTACGTTTTGATGAATTTATTATATTTTCTAGGTATTAATAGCAGAGCAAACGATTTTAATGGGTCAAGTATCAAGACAAGGAGAGGGAGTTGGTCATTGTTATTAAATAAATATTTGAAGCCATATCGATTTCAATGATAAAAAATAATAAAAGATGATATATTTAATATTATAAACTATTTAATTTTATAAATAAAAATATGCAATTAAAAGATAGTATGAGTTGTTAGCAAAAGCCAGAAATAACTTTAATAGTTTACCCAAATGCGAAGCAAAGATTTTAGTCTACATAGTCTAATCATATTAGAAAAGGTTAATTTTTAGTCAAACATTCAGTGAAGGTAATTTTAAGTTTTTATAATATGCATAAAATTCTAGAAATTCCAATTAACATCTGGGCTGGTTGAAGAGATTTAAGAAATGACAGAATATCATACTCTTTGACAGTGGCGTAGCCAGGATTTATCCGTGGGAGGGGGGGTGGATTAAAATTTCTTTGGGGGCTTCACTCTCAAACCCTATTTTTAAATTTTGCAATATTATGTTCTTTATTAGTGTCTCACTATAGTAGCCAGCATTAATGAAAAAAATAGTAACAGAATTTTGGCCTAATTTATGATTAATAAGAGCGGCTGGAAGCATTATTCTAAAAATTTTATCAATGTTTAGTCAATTGTAAATTAATTCATCCAGTGTAGAAAGAAAAAAAATTGCCCCCAAGCCTTCCATTTTTTATGATCCTCAATATATCTTATTGAGTGTTAAAAATAATTATTTTAATTAAATTTTACTAATTTCATTATAGATTTTATTTATTATTAAAATACTTTAATATAAATAACATCCCTTTATTTAACTATGCATTTATTTTAATGATAATATACAATAAAATAAATTTCAAAATGTATAAATTTTAATTATTATATTAAAAATTTATTATAAATAACTATATTTTAAGAAAATATAATTCAATAAAATATAAGAAATTCTTGTACGATATTTAAAAAAATATAATTTAACAATTATAATTAATACAAATGAATCAAAATATAAATAATTCTTATTGAAAATGCAATACTTTTATTAAAAGTAGGCAGGGAATCTAAAGTGCAATTACATATGGAAAGGGCCTGCAAAGCATTTTTTGGTCTCATAGAGTACTCTATTCTATCAATATTTTTATACCAAAATTCAACATCGCAGAGTAACTTATCATACGATCCTGATGAATCATCAGAATAAAACTCAGATTTTCTTAATATCCTCTCGCGTTTCAAATATAATCAACAATTCAGACTCAACCAGCTGAAGAAGATAAAAGCTTTTTAAAATAAAATTGTGACTAATAAATCTTTCCTGAAATAAAAATCTATCAATAAGGGGAATAAAAATATTTATTATATAAAAATCTTCAATCGTAGATGCATCAATATTTAAGTGATCTAGAAACTACTCTAGATTTAAAAATTATAATCCCAAACATATTAGCGATCTCCTTTACTTTCTCGCATATTTCATGAAATTTTTCATCCACAGAATATTTGTTAATATCTCAACATTATCCTTTCTATCCCTTAATTCCATATCAATTTTTTGTAGCATTTTGCTAAAATTTTATGTTTAATTAAATAAAAAATAAACGCATTGAGTTGATATTAAAAATTGTGGTTTCGTAATAGCCTGCAAAATATTTTCAGCATCTGCGGAATCTTTTTCTTTGCTTGATATGTAGGTTTCGAGCGATGCAAAAATAACTTCATATAATTCGTTGAAAAGTTTCACTGATTGTTTTCTTTCAATAAATCAAGTTGGATAAAATCTTTTTTGTTTTTTTAAATTATTTGATTCTCTTCTCTTCTCTTCTATATTATGAAACGTTTGGATAAAAAGCTGCCTCTTCTTGGGTGGTGTGAAAAAGTCACAAACCGACGATATTGTTTTTAAATTTTGAAAAATATAGAATTATAATGTTGAAATATTATATTTTTTTATGTTTATTTTTGGGTTTATTGATTTTTTATTCATAATGTTTTTGGAAATGTATATTCTTTTATAATGTTTTAAAAAAATCGAAAATTAATTAAATTTTAAAATGATTATGAAATTTTGATGTTTTGTTCGAATAATATTATATTTTAAAAATTATAAAATAAAACTTAACAACGACTGCGTTAATTAAATACCCATAAAAAATTAAGTTTAGATCGCGACTATTTGGTCACGACATATAAAAAGATATCTATAATACATAATAAAATCTAATAAATTCGAATTAAATTAAAATATTTTTATGTAAACTGTTCCGGATGTCTCGAATTTCGCATGCCTCAGATATCATCGAATTTAGGCAATTTTACCTACAGTGAACATATAGAGCTGTACTATAACGCTCTCTAATTCTTGACTGCACCTTTTTAACGTGAGCACTCATCGAGGGAGCTCCAGCATATCCTTGGCCTCTCTTTAAAATCTAGGCCTTGAAGGTATGCTAAAATTTATCTGTCTATCGTCTTTGATTTAGTGTCATGTAAGTCAATAAATTGAACAAAGAGTTCCTTCATTTTGAAATCACCTAATTCCATCAATAAACCTTATTGCTATGGATAAGTGCTCTATGTTACCAACATCCGAAGTCTCATCCGCCAAAACACTAAAAAATGGTGATGCTTTCACTTTTGTAAATTTCTTTCAATATGAACCTATTGCAAATGGCTAATATTGCATTCTGAATACTTGGACTAAGGTAAGTGGCATTTTTAGCAGAGCAAAATAGTTATTATTATTGCATAAAAATTTCAACAATTCCTTGAAATTCACTTCATTACGAGAAGAGTATGTAAGTGTTAAGGGGCAAGAAGATATTCTATGAGCTCTTAATGCTATGCCCTGCCTCCCTAACCAAATGATTGCATTAATTATTATAATTATTCTTGCTCTGTTTGTTGTAACAATATCAAATTTATTTTATTTAATACATTAGATATTGATATCTTTTGATTCATAGATATGGCTTTTAAAGTAACCGATATCTCCCAAGAATTGAGATGGTATATATTTTAGTTTATATAATTTTGAATATATAATTTTAAATCATGTGTTCATTTAAAATTGAAAATTCTCATTTGTTTTTTTTTAAATATATTTCATTTTGATATCGTATATATTATTTTATTTCTAAATTGAAATTTTTTAAATGAAATTATTCACAATATAAACAAATTTTTAAATTAAAAAAAAATTTTCCGAGATTATGGTAGGGGGGTGGGGGTCACTGCTCTTTGCAATGAAAGTGGGAGTGTAGATCTTATTAATGCAAAATACATTCTTTTCTCTTAACATCTTGTTTAGATTCAAATAGGTAGTATATATAATTGTCATAAGACAAGGCTATACTACCGACCAAAGAGAACAATGGAATCTAATCGAACTCAATATCTAGGATTTAAACCATATAAAGAAAAGTTGCAGTTCTGACGGAAATGGATCTAAAATAGGGTCGTTAAATACCTCGTGTTTTAAAAAATTACCTTTTAAGTAAAACCCTAACAAAAGTAGCTGTATGACAACTTCAACCTTTGAAGATATCCTAAGAGAAAGGTATTATGAAAAGATGATAAAATTTATGGAAGGAAATAATACCATCTATTTTATTAAATTTGTATGGGTTGAGGTGACAACGAGTACAACAATTATAAAGTGCTTTATTGGAACTATTTTTTTCATAAGTCATTAACATTTAACTGTCAATCAGACAATAAAAGAAATAAATTTGATCCCATGTATGTAAAATATGCCATAGGCCAGCCCGAAAACTTTAGTTGGGGTGGTCATCTGTTTTGTATGGCCAATGAAATAAAACAAATAGTGAGATACTCACAGAAATAATTTTCCTACTTTTATTGAAGTTGTAAATGCAAAAAGTTATGAACATTCAAAATAATAAAATAAAGACGATTTTTAAATTACAAAATGAATTAGTTTTGGTTATTTCTTTAGAAAGCCAATAGCACTAAATTTTGTTTCTACTCACTTTCATTCACTGGGGCTCGATAAAACCTAAAAGAAACAAGAAAATAATTAAGTTGTATTTTGTTTTAGATTAAATTTTATTTCTACTTTAAAAAATAAAATAATTATAATTATAATATGTATAACATCGACTGGTATATATACTGGTATATGTAACAAAACATTTAAATTAATACTCAATAAATTATTTTACAAATTTGAATAAACAACACAATATGTAACAAAACATTTAAATTAATACTCAATTAATTATTTTACAAATTTGAATAAACAACACTATTAACATTCCCCTCCTCGACAAAGCATCAAGTTGCTGCTCAGAGGGCGCATAAGTCTGTCTGATGGCGTGAGTCCATACGTTTTTGTAGGTTAAAAAAGTTTCTGTACGTTATCATTATTATAAGGATC